GAATAAATATAAATAGAACAAATAATAATGAATTTTTTAAGTAACTTTTTAATCTAAAAATATTTACATTTTTTTATTTTTATTTTAGAGAAAAAAAAGATTGAAGTACTCAAAAAAAAAATTATATATTCATTTACTTTGTACTGTAATATTTTAAAATTTGTGGTGTTTATAATTTATGAACGATTATTCTAATTTCATTCAATTGTTTTAGGTTAAATATAGATCAAAAAGTTATGTAATCGACAAAAATTTCAACTCTCTAACTTTAATTGTTTTGAAAATATTCAAATTTTATAATAAAACATACAGTGAAGTTTTTCGGGAAGAAATGTGCCGTGATACTTTTTCTACAGATACTTTCAATTGAACCTATTTAAGAGATATTCTTTTCAAGTATAATTTACCTCAGAAGAATTTGATAAGTAAATCTAAATATATGGTGATCTGTTTCTGATTACTCATTTTCCTTGTAGAGTTGGAAAATTAATTGAGCTTTGTCAATGAATAAAATCAATTTTATCATTAAATTAAGCAAAAATTGAACTGTACATTATGTATCTCGGCTCATATTCAGTGACGTATTTGAAAAATATTGTTGTACAACCAAAGCACAAAGTATAATAAAATGTACTATTCAATATTTATTTTTAGATCTATTTTTATTGTTTCACATCATTTGTAGGAAAAATTTTCAATCGATTCATTGATATTTATTTTATTTTATTCCATTAATAATAATGCGAATAGTCTGCATTCGATTGATTAAATTTCGTGTAAAAAGCCATGGTCGTTTAAATAATTTTATACGATCACGTACTTGTTCATGAGATAAATTTGTTTGAAATAATGGAATACTTATTCGAATGTATACTTGTTTTAAGAGATACATTTTCTCAAATAAATCTATCCAATATTGTGAATCAATTAATTTTGAGGATCTAGTAGAAAAGTCAAGATAAAGATACATTAAATTTGGAAAAATTTTTAATAAATATTCTAATGTTGATATTTGAATAATGCTTGAATTTAATCTAAGTCGTGATAATGATAAATTTTCTTTTATTCCTATTGATATTAAAAACGAATCAGTTAGATTATTTACAACACTGTTTAATGACTGAAGATTAGGTAGAAGATCAAGTATATGAAATAAGTCTTCAATTTCCGAAGGTTTATCTAATGATAAATATTCTAATCGATTTAATGTTTGATTTGTTATCTCAACATCAGTTAAATTTACAATTCCACGAGCACATAATCTAAGATGTATTGAGCGTAATGATGGATAACGTTCAACTGATAACAAATGTTGTGTTAACGAATATTTTTTACCAATACTTTTTTTACAAGATGTTATTGAAATTGTTTCTAATATAGATTTTTCAATTCGATTAAGAATTTGTATAACTAAATCAATAGAACATCGAGATAAAGTTAATGAACGCAGTAAAATAAAACGATCCATCACCTATATTGATATTAAAAAAAGTTTTTCTTGTTATATTAAATTAACTTACTATATCATTAATTAAAACAGTCATTTGATGTGGTATTGAAGATTGAAGAGAATATATTCGACCTTTGTCAATATTATAATAAATAAAATTTCCAATAAATGAAGTAAAATATAATGGATTAATTTTATCAAGACTAACATGTACTTGACAATGACAAATAATTGAATTAAAACGAGAATTAAGAGAATAAAAGGTTAAATAAAGTGAATATAAATCAAAATATTCAAATAATTCCATTACTAATTCATTTGACATTGTTTCCAATGTCGAGATTTTATTAACATATTTGATTCTATTTGATAATAAATTATTGTTATTTATATGAAGAAAAACAAGTATTGACAGACTTTTTGTTGTCGATATTTAATTGATATAATTCATTTGTTCGTTTTGCCATTTTAAATTTTAATGAAATTTGTTTCACATTTGTAGAGATGAAGCACGCACTGAATAACCATCAAATAACGTATGATGATAATAATAATAATCATCGACGCAAAACCTGACTCATATCTTTACAAGAGAAATTTTTTTTTTCTGTTTCAGCCGTATTAACGACGAAATAAACAAAATGTCTCCTTTCAAGGATATGGTCGAAAAATGATTACTAATTCATCGTTATAACCTTCAAAACAAGATGCAGTATTTTAATATTTTGATCACATTATCGATATACACTCATCGAACATGAAAGACATATTCTGTTTTATTCTTGTTCAAACAATCAAGTTTTACATCTGAATCAACTTGATTTACAATCCAGAAAAAAACAAACGACAGACAGAACTGTAAAAAAAAACACGGAAATAATCTTGCATAGAACCAGTTATTAGCACAAAAGAAAATATCTATCTAAGTATATGTATATGTATCACATCATTTTTTGATGAAATGAAATTCATGCAAATAAATTTTGAAAGAACTATACAGTGTTTATTTTATTTTGTAAGCGGTTCTTAAGAATTAGTTGATGATGATGCTTGAGAATTTAGATTAGCTAAAATTGAACGAAGTTGCTGCCATGTTTGCTCATTTAATTGACGAGCAAGTGAACCTAAAAATAATTCTTGATCACTTGTAGTTGGTGTTGTTACTGGAGGTGTAGAAAGAGGAGATGGATAAAAAGGTGTTAATGGTAAAACATTAGGTGGTTTGATTCCTGTCTTCTTAATAATTTCAACTCGATTATTAACAGTTGATGTTGTTGATGATTCTATTTGTTTTCGTTGTTTTGGTACTTCACTATCCCATCGTGTTTGTAAACCATAAATTGGTAACTTCATTTGATGATCATTAAGAATTAATCGAACACAATGATTTTGTATATTAGCCACATCACGTGTTGCAGCTAATGCTATTTCATCAAAATCTTCTATACCATCATGGTCAGCATCAAAACCAGCACGTGTAAATGGTAAACTTTGTGAACTAACTATTTTTTTCATGGTCCACGTTGGTGAAGTATTTATATTATTTGTCTCATTATTATGATTATTAGTACTACTACTATTATTATTATCATCATCATCAACTTCATCATCGGATTCATCAATCGGTTGTTTCATATGACGTTTTTCATAATTTTGGCGTCGACGATATTTAACATAAAGTAATAATATACGACGATATACACGTCGAACATCACCAGCTAATATAGATTCACCTTGTTTTGATATTTGATCAAAATAATGTGATATGAGACGTTTCAAAGATTTTAGTGTATCAACAAGTTGATTTAGTTTCAGTAAATTATGTAAAGCAACTGGATTAGGACCAGATTTAGCATTATTCATCTTATTTATTGAACGTGAAAGTCCTGGCGGAGAAAACCGTGTACGACCACCATTAGTTAATGCAAGCTTTTTACGATTATAGCGATTTGATGATGATGACGATGGTGGTGAAGTACTATTCATACTGCCTAAAGATAAAGAAAGACAAACGATCTGGAAACAAAGAAATAGAATATCTAAACCAATAAATGAATCTAAAAGAGTAATTATTGAAGAGTACAATTATCGTTGTTTTTATTGAAAAATCTATGAAAAGATGTTCATTAAATTGATGATATCTTTAGTATTAAAAATTAATTTTTTTTATCGATATTAACAAAAATTAAAAAATTAGATAAACATATTTCTCATGATGAATAAAAAATAGACTAAAAAAAAATAGTAATGAATACATTTGAATTAGTTCAATTTATAGAAATTTATTATTTCTGATTATGATGATTCCACGACAATGTTCTTCTATGTTCAGTTCTTTTGTGATTATGAGAACCTGATCTATCTTGCATTAATCGACAGACTACAATAGTTCTAACCAGAGATGTAACGAAGCCTTGTATAGAAACACGAGTTCAAATCCTAAAAAAATGTTATTCTGTGTAATGTGTTATCATTTTTTTTTTATAGTGATCAATAAGTAATGTCCGTATCAAATTAAAGACGAGTGACGTATTCTTAACAATTCGACAACAGTAACAGCTAGCAATTTGCAATTCTCAGCAACAGAAAGTAGACAAGTTTGGACGTCTTTTGTCTGATACTATATAAGACAATTATTTTAAAACATATCATATCTATAAAACATTCAAACACTAAATGAAAACGGTGCTTCATTTCAAAGAAACTTTGATGAGAAGTCATAAAATTTTCTAAAATTAACAGAAATCTAAATAATTTGATCGAATCGATTGATAACTTTGTTTGTTCAACATTAAAATATGAGAAGATAATTACCTGAATCGTGTCTTGAACTATAGGTCTGAAGTTTCTCTGTCTAAAATCATATGTCAACATCAAAATTAGATCGAAACAGAACACTATCTTCATGGATTTTTTTTCAAAGTTTTACGGAGATCATACGTTTCAAAATAATTTTTAACCTATATAGTATCAGATAAAAAGACGTTTGGCGTCTTTCCTTAGTTTACTAGAAACTACAGGTCGCTAACTGTTGTCTTAGTCGAATTATTGAGCTTACGTCTATCTCTCTCTTTAGTTCTGATCCGAACAATATATGTGGGTTTGTTTTGATCTTGTCTATTATAATCAATCATAGATACAATCACAATCAAATCGTCTCCTGTCATACCTTGAATAAAAAAATTACATATTTATTTTAATATAAAAAAATTAAAAAGAAAACCAATTCGTAGTACACTATTTTGTTTAACTTTGCGCCAAAATTTTGATTCAGCAAGTTGAATACTCTCATAATTATTATTATTATTATTATTCTGATTATGATTTATCATCAAATTCTCTTTTAAATAAGATTTATCTATCTAAAATAAACATTAGTAAGATTGATACACCACGCATGATACATTAGATATATATTTATGTTTATTTTTGTCATCACTTAATTAAAAGCATAAAGAAAAGAAAGAAACGAAGAAAGCACATGTACATGCATATGCATAAATAAAGATTTATGCTTGATTTTTATAAGGAAAAAAAAATACAAAAATAATTAAGCAATATTTTGTAGCAAATGATTGACAACGAGATCTTTATTTCCGTGATGTTTATCAAGTAAATCAGTTATAATACGACGATCAACAGTAGGAAACATTTCTTCAATTGTTCGTACATCTTCAAGTGAATATGGTGGTGGTGGCGGCTTTGGTACAGCCGATGGTGAATGTTCTCCTATCGGTTGTTGGTGTTGTTGTTGTTGTTGTTGTTGTTGTTGTTCGGTCATCATAGCTGATTGGTTTGGTAATGAAGTTGCAGCATGACCGGTCGGAATATTTGCATTTTCATTTGGATTCACAACAGGTGTTTCAGTTGAACTTGCCATTGCAGGATGGTTTGCTGCACGCACGGACTATAAACATAACAAAAAGATAAAGCAATACAAAGTATAAGAAATCGATGAAAATCTATTGTGAGCAAAGACTGATTAACTAAACAATATTGAAATACGCACAGAATCATTATGATGTTGGTCATTTTGATCAGATATCATCTGATCATTTATTGGCTATATTAACAGTAGGAATAATAATTTTATTTTCAATAAAAATAAATTGATTAAATTTTTGAAAAATATCTCTTAATTTTATCAGAAAAATATTTACCAAAAAACTCATAATAACAAGAATATCTCCTTGATTTTCATTTGCACTTGCTTGTCTTCCCATTAATGGATACCAATGTTGACGTGTTTCACCTTCCATTACTTCATGTGGTATCACTATTTCACTTTCACCAATAAAACTATCTTCAGTAAAATTTCGCTATAATATCAATAGAATAAATCATCAAATTCATATAGAAAAAAAAAATGAATTTACTTGATCATATACTTCTAAATGAATTCTATCCATTCCTTTGAATAAATTACTAAACAAATTAAAAAAAAATAATCAACAAAAAAAAAATACAATCATTGACATCAATTCTTACATGCGATAAGAGGCTTTCCATTGAGGATTTTTACCACCACCAGATGCTATGGGTGTATCGTATGCAACATGACCAATTCGAAAACTAACATATGGATCCATTTTGATCAAACCTAATAAACCGGCATTTTTTACTAATTTCGCCTAAATAAATAGAAATTTAACTTTTCTTTATTGAATCAAAAATTAAAAAACAAATACCTCAGCAATTGTTAATGTAAAATAGCCAAGAAAATTTGGATTTTGATAAAGTTGTTGTTGAAGTTGTACAGGTGAATAAACTTGTCTCATACCTTGTACTGCTGGATTATAGATTTGTGCCTGTGTAAATTGTATACGAAGAAAGTCTTGTGGGAGATCACCAAGCATAACCTAAATTAACGATGTTTTTGTTTATTTAATGTAAGCAAAGAAATAATTGACATACTCGTGATCGATATTCGCTAAATTTTGGTACCACATTATTATTAGTAGAAGAAATATCTGTGTAATTTGAAGACGTTGCTCCTGCAGATGCGGCATAACTTGAAGTAGCAGTAGCTGAAGCCATGTTTTGTAGTGTTTTTAATAATCAATTTAACCTTTATGAGAAAGAAAAAAATAAAAATATGAATGAATCATTCTACTTACTTTCTTTTTTTAACGAATAATTGAAGAAAATATTAAAATAAATAGATATATGCCTGTTTCAATTAGAAAATGTTTGCAAGTAATAGACTAGATGAACTAAAATATCAAATGACAACAAAATGGGTTCATTTCTATAGATGTCGCATGCAAGATGAAGTTTTGAAATATTGTAAAAATTGATGAAAATTTTTTTAAAGAAAAACATAACTTCTGAATTAAAAGAAATATTTTTTTGTTTGAACTTTTAAATAAATATTTAGATTGGCTTTCTAATTCAACCATTCATTCTCACTGTTTTCATATTTGCTCAATAACTAAAACTCTTTAGTCTTCAAAACTATCATTCAACTTTTCATTTAATTTAATAATAATGCCCGAAAGTAAGTCTTTAATATTTTCCAAGAAATTTTCTTCATTTAAAATCATATTTTTGAAGACGAACATTATTCAAATCCAATGGCTCCGGCCAATTATCGGCCACATGATGATGTTGAAACAGGTTCAGGGTAAGTTTTATTTAATATCAATATTGTCAAGTTAATTTTCTTGTTTGTAGACATCCATTAACAAATGATGATTTTCGAAAATTATTAATGACACCAGCTGCACCTGGTTCAACAACATCACAACGTTATCATGGTTCAACAGCATCGGCTTCTCAACAAAAACCATCTAGTAGTCATAAGTTTGTGTTTAGTCTCGTTTTTTTTTTTCTGTAAATAATTGTTAATTTAATGTCTATAGAGGTGAAGGTAGTACTGAAGCAAGTGATAAACGTAAAAAAAAGAAACAATATTATGCTAAAGTTATTCGTGAAGAAAAAGCTCGTGAAGAAGAACGAGCCAAAAAATATCGTGATCGTGCACGTGAACGACGAGATTTAATCGCAAATGAAGATCAATTGAGTATGGATTTAACTATAAATCCTAATCAACAAGCAACATCAACTGGAAATTATAAATCAGTAGCACCTGATACTAAAGGAAATTTTGATGCTGCTGCAAGAAGAAAACAATTAATTGAAGAATCAAAATTTTTAGGTGGAGATTTAGAACATACACATTTAGTCAAAGGTTTAGATTATGCTTTACTACAAAAAGTATTAGAATATATATATATATGTGTTTTTTTTTAAAAATTATTTCATACATTGAAAATTTTAGGTACGAGCTGAAATTGGACAAGACGATGTTGATAATGATCAAACAACTTTAAATAAAGATGAACATGTTTTTGTCAGACCATCAACTAAAATGTAAATATAAAAATTTTTAAATTCTAGAAATAGTCGTTCTCATATAGAAATCTCCTATTTCGGATCATTCTATGTTTGATACTCTCGAGTGATGTTGTTTCTTCATTTTGAATACCTTTCAAAATTAGAAGTCAATCAATAGAAAATCATACCATTAATTACACAGAAAAATAAACAAAAACTACGAGACACTGAAATAAAAACACAAGTTGATTATAATGTGAAAGAGTATCTTTTGAGTTTTCATTTATTTAGAGTAGCATTTTTTCAGAAGAAAATTTGAATGACAAATCTATTAAGAAATAGTGTTTTGTTTTGAGTTTTTTCAAGGCGGAACAAAACTGATTTTTAGATTTGAAATCGTTATAACACGTTAACAATACCAAAACGGACTGGAGATGATTAACAATTATCAGAAGTCATTAGAAACTAATGAAAATAATTGTGAATCACAGAAAATCTGCAATAATAAAATTAAAAGTCAAAGACTAATTTTTAAGTATTGCTGATGATTTCTATTGATTCATGATGAACAGATAAAAAATGTTTTCCAACGAAAAAAAATCATCAAAAATTAACGAATTAGTTTATTCTTTCTTCATGTCTTTTTTGCATTTCCAATAACTATTTCATCTCTAATGTATCTAATAAAACTAAACATTTTGTTCATAAATACAACGATAATCTTCACAGTCTGATGAGTATTTAACTAGCTAAAGAAAAATAATTTCTGGTCCATTTGATTTGATCTAAAACAAGTAATAACATTTATACGTTTAATAATAAAATAAAATTTTTTTCTTTGAGATTTCTTACAAATATTATTTCATTAATATCTAAAATAATGACTAAATAGGAAAACAAATTGTCTCATATTTTTCAGCATTCTATATTACTAAGCTTTTTATATTTCGTTTTAATTCAAAAAAAAAAAAAGTAAAGTGATTATATCGTTGATACAAAATAAATTCTAACTTTTTCAGTACACCAATTGGTTCTGGTACAAATATTGAAAAGAAAAAAGTTTTATCAAATGAAACTACAACTCCTGCTCCTTCAACACCATTAACACCTGAAGAAGAAGAAGAACAAAGATTAGGCTTGAAATCTCCTATGGCTAAAAATATATTTCGAATTTTATTTCGTCCATCATCACGTCGTGTCAATGAATTATTTTTACCACATCGTATGGCATATATAATTGATTTAGAAAATCTTAATGGACAACAAGATGATGATAATGAAAAAAATACACATGTACTTGATGATATACCAACAACATTAATAAGATCAAAAGCTGATTGTCCAAATGCAGAAGTATATATATTACATTATTTTTTAGAAAAAAGAAATTTTATATTTATCTTTAGACAACAACTACTATGAGTAATAATGATATTGTTATAAATAAATTAACTCAAATTCTTTCATATTTACGTCATTCAAAACGTGATTTAAAACGTCAAAAAAAGAAAGGTACTGGAATTTTTACTGGACTCGAATCTGAAATAAATATTAAACCAACACATGATTCAATAAATACAATAACTAAAAAAGCTAAAGATATAAGTATGTATGATGATGTTGGTGATTATATACCGGATATTAAACGACGTTCAACAACAAATGATCGTGAAAAATCTCAATATGAAAATGATATTAGAAAGAAGGCTTATTTTCATAATGATTCAAAATCTGTAAATATTCTTTTTCTTTTTTTTTTTTTGGTTTCTTTAAAATTATTAGAATCTATAATAACATTTATTTAGAATGATCGAAAATCAAATATTGATGATATTGATCAAAATAATACGAATCGTACTGAAGCAGTTAAAAGTTTTATACGTAATGTTCATCATAAATATAATACAAAAAATGTATGTTATAATTTTGATAAAATAATTAAATATAGCTTTTCTATTTCATATATTGATAATAGGATGAGGAACGAACTACTTCATCAAATTCAAATAAAAAAAGTAAAAGTGGTTTTCAATTAAAATTTAGTGATGATTCATATGCTGAATGTTATCCTGGGTAAGAAGAAAAAAATAATTCATTCTTATTTGAGTTTTTTTTTTGTGTTTTACATAGAACAATGGCTGAAGAAGATGTTAATATTGATTCTGATGATGAACCAGATTTTGATAAAATGGATATGGGTTCAAAAAAAGGTCCAGTTGGTCGATGGGATTTTGATACAGCAGAAGAATATTCAGATTATATGGGTCAAAAAGAAGCAATGCCAAAAGCAGCATTTCAGTATGGTGTTAAAATGAATGATGGACGTAAAACACGACGTGGTGTTGGTCCAAAAGATGAAAAACAAAAATTAGAACGTGAATGGCAACAAATATCAAAAATTATTGAAAGTAAACGAAAAGGTGATCCAACTAGTAGTGCTTCGTAAGTTTTACTTTGTGAAAGATGATTATTTGTTTGATTGGTTTTGTTTTTTTTTTCTTTAGACCTGATCTATCGGCTAGTAAACGAACAAAAATGTCTTAAATATTTTTTTTGTATATTGATTGAAAATGTTTTTGCGTGCTTGTTTCTTCTAAATATATACCGTCTGAAAGTCGTATAGTTTAAGTTTCATTTAATCTTTTATCCATAAAAAAACAGTAATTAAGCTTTTTTTGTTCTCATTTTATTTGCATATAATGATAATGTATATATTCGTTTGAACTAAAATTTCGTTTTCACGGTAGATAGTAGAACTTGATTTCAGAAATATCTGTTTTATTATTGCCAATTTTACTCTAATTGATCGAAGCATGTTTGTTTGGTATCAGGCAGTAAAGTATCGAATTTTCTTTATTGTTTCTTTTTTCTCAAACTTCGTTGGAAGCATATTTTTATGTCTTCAGTTAATATGGTATTGTTGTTGGCAGGGCCCGCGCGAAGGATCAAATATTAGGGGGGTGTACGGCGGATTGTGGGGGTGTAAGGAAGAATTTTTGGAAAAATCTTGCAGAAAAATTATAAAATGTAGACAAAATCTGCATTCGTGGACGGAAAAAACTGAAATTTTTTGGTTTTTTTTTGGGGGGGTGTACACCCCCTAAACCCTCCGCTCGCGCGGAGCCTGGTTGTTGGATTCATATTGTTGTTAGGAAATAAACTCAAGTAGGTACCGTTATCTTTTGATAAAAACATAGTTGTTTACCTGTTTTGGATAGAAATTTAGTTGTTTTTTAAATTTAGTTTTAGCCTATGGATACATTCGATGGATTTCTAATCATTTGTTTTGTACACTGCAAAACTATTGAAAATATTTTTTGGGTATATTTGTCTGTATTTCATTATTCAAAACGGTCTGTTCGCTCGAATCTTTGCTATAGATGCCAAGATACATCACTACTTTCATTCGAAGTTTGATGTCATCATCTTGTCTTATGAGCTATTTAATAATGGGCTGCTCATATACAATACTTTAGACATTATAGACTCAATATAAAATTTTTTCGTGTGAAACAAGTGTCTTAATTGTCACAGAAATTTTCCAAGATTTTCATTTTTGTTTGACTAGTTTCATCGGTAATTTTACACATATTTACAGAGAAAATAACTGAAAAATCAAAAAATAAAGACGGTATAGTTCTTGATAAATTAGTTGCTACAATAAGAGGTTGATTCTCATTAGTTTTGATAACTTTAATGAT